TCTGAATGGAAATTTTGAATGTATTGGATGCTTTGGTTTTTCAACAGATTGCATGCCTGACAGCCAGCCAAGTTCAGAGACTGGCTGCCAATAGGAGCAGGAACACAACTGATGAGTGAATGCTGGGGTGTGTAGGAGATTGGAGGATTTACTGAACACGTTGAAATTGTCAATGGGTTTTTGTGTGGGGGATTTCTAAAGAGAATTTTGAGAAGGTGCCTCATAATAGATTTATGAATAATGTCAGGGAATGCTCAGTCAGGTGACAAATGGTAGAATGGATTACTAGTTCGCTTCAAAACAGAAAACATAAGAGTAAAAGACGCGTTTTCAGAGTGGCACAAGTTTGAAAGTGGTGTTGCACAAGGATCTCTTGTGGAACTGCCACTACTTATAATTTACGTTAATGGGCTTTGATTTCAAAAACACAATTTATACATGAGTAAAAGATACCAAGGGCTTGATTTTCAGGCACCAATGAAGTTAGGAATGGAGGTTCCTGGCAGGTAGCCAATTTAGAACCTTTTTAAGGACACATTAAAGGAGGCCAACTGGAGCTTTGTAATTGGCCTTCAGTTTCCTCATTTGGTGGGAGCCAGTTTAAATGAGTGCAGGCAAACATACACAGCTCTTGAGGGGGAAACCTACACTCCAGACAAGCCTATATGTCCCCTCTACCTGTTTGGGGACAAAAATCACCAAAGGTCACCTTGTAGCCTGATCTGTCCCCAGGCCCACCACCAACAGTAATAGTTTGGCAGCTGTGAATATGTTTTCTACATAAACCTTTAAAACAAAATGATGAGAGGGTGCTTCCATATCAAAGCAATTGTTTACCTTCTGCTGGCACCTGCTCCTTATCTGAAGCTGACAGCCCTCCACCCCGATTGACCCTGTAGCTTTTGACAGCCTGCCTTACTGTTAATAATTGAAACTAATTCCACTTGTTATGAGAGAACTTCTGTGAAAATTCTAAAGACTGTGACTGTTTTCCTCTCAGAATGGTTTTGGAATTGAGATGGATTCACGACTCCTGTTTCCTGTTCTCAACGAGAAAATCCAAACTTGAATTTTGGGAAAGGCATTTAGGGACTATTGTCAATACAGAGGTACACTACAACATATTTCAGGAGGATATTAATAAACATACAAAATGGACAAAATATAACACAGGTAAGTATGAAAGGGTACACTTTGGTAGGAAGAATAGGGAAGTAACTTATTATTTGAATGGCTTACGTTTAGGTGAGCTAAAAGAACAAAGGGGCAGAATTGGAAAAAAAATGCAAACGAAGCTCTCAGCCTTATATTTAGAAAGTTAGGATTGAAAAGTCGGCAAGGATTAAAGGAAACCTATATTGAACTTTGGATAGATCACACTTAGAATACTGCATGTAGTTTTGGTCCCATATCATAAAGAGGATATAGAGGCACGAGATAGAGTGCAGAGAAGATTTTCAGGTATTATACCAGATATGCATAGGTATACATATAGGGAAAGGATGAACAGCCTGTGTTTCTTTGGTCTTGGAAAAAAAAGACTGAAGGGTGGCCCAATAGAGATCTTTAAGTTTAATAGAGTGTATACACAACAATGTTTCATCTTTTGGGAAAGTGCATAACTGGAGGCTATCAATATTCACTAAGAAATCCAATTAAAAATTCAGGAAAACGTATTTTTGTTTACAAAAAGAGAGATCAGAATTTGGAATTTAGTACCACATAGAATGTTTGAAGTAAACAGTATGGATGCATTTAAGGGAAAGATGGCTAAATCTATGAGAGAGAAAGAAATAGTGAGTTAGGATGGCAAATGCAGGGGAACAAACATGGGAAGAGGCATAAGTAGAATTTTCTTGGCTGCGTAAGCAGATAGGGCTGAACAGCCTCTTTTTGTACCATATATCCTCTGTATGTAATCCTATAATTGTATGTTGAAAGAGATGTGGGGTCAGGTTTGAGGTTTTTTTTACCTTCCGTCTGACATCAATTCACTCAGCGCTGGTGGCTAAAATACTCCCCGGCCCCCTGCCCAGTTGTAGTAGTTAAGTATCTTCAGGAAACACTTCTTCAATTGTACACAACAAAAAACTCCTTTTGTAATAACGGTAAGCTTGCAGCTCAACTCTGAACCTTTTGTTTTCCACCACAACCATGTTTTTGCTTCTCTGAGTGAGATTGTCAATTAAGTGCCAATTGGTGTTGAATTAGGAGACCCAGGCGTAATAAGATCTCAACTAGTACAATACCAAGGCATTTCCTTTAGAACAGTTAAAGCCAGAAAAATGATAATCTATGAACCACTCAATTCTGGCTGGATTTGAAAGACTCTGGAGGTTAAAGGCAAGTGTCCAACTCACTGCACCTGCCAAATATTCAGCGACTTGTCCGTTCTGAGCATTTTATGCCCTATTTTTGCTCTGGTGTTTGATAAGAAATATTGTCAAACTCTGCTTCCACTCAATAGATGGAACTTAACTTTTGATGGCCATTCACCAGTAGCATGAATGAGACGTAAACAGCTCATTCACATTGATTCCCTTTAGTGTGCTGTGCTGCAACAGTACATGGTGACATTAGAGTCACAGCTGTGTGCCAGGAAAGTCTACATTTATCACAAAACAAGATATAACACAACTGTATATTGCAAAAATTTGCGAATACTTCTCTAAGGTAGGTAAAGATCAATGTATAAAAATGATACTTTTAAAGTTAACCTATTCAATGTAGACAAAACTAACTAAATTAATATAGGACTGATGAAATTGTTTTCTTTCACATTTTAATCATTGGGTTCCATGGGCTGCTGATTGCTTCAGTAGCACAGTGCTTGCGTGCACCATTGTATTGAACTGGAGAGTGGTAAGATATGGGTTCTTTTCTGTTATTGGCCACATGCACGTGGAAAACGCTGGGGAGATGCTGAACCATGCAAAGCACTTCCCTTGAGGGATAAAGAAAAATAGGAGGGTGAATTATCACATCCCTGTCTCACGCACATTCAAGCAGCTGGTTGAATGTATCAAATTGTCTATCTGCTTGCTTTCTTAGTTGGGGAATTACTGTAGAATATGGAACGATAAATTGGATAAAAATATTTGGAAAATACAGGGGAAAGAACATAATTTTCAAATCACTTTTGAGGTTTTCTTTACAGTTTCATGACACGAAAATAAACCTGCAATTAAATGGTTCTCCAGTATAACATAGATTTCAATCTTGTGGAATTTTGAAACAGTGATCACCCTTTACCCTTGCATTAATGTAACCATTAAACATTGTCTCGGCTTCCCACTTTAGTACCAAACTCCCTTCCATGCCTGTGGGTCCAACGATGAGGCTGCGTGATGTACATTTTTCTCTTTGGAAATGTGCATGTGGTACTATTTGGTGACAATGATCTTGTGGGAGGAGATCTCATGTAAATGGTATAAAATGAATTTTAATGAATTCTTTCCAGTCACATTAGATTCTTGAAATTGTCTTATCTGATCAAGAGAGAAGTTGAAAGAGCGTATTATTGCCGTAACTACAAAACCAGGTTTAACACAAGAGAAATGGCCAGAAACAACAGCAATTGATCAAAATCAGATTTCCATTTCACCCAGTGGATGCAGTGCATGGGTGAATTAAAATTGCCTGAGTTTGTTTTCTGCCCTTAGGCTGCATCATTTTCACTCAGTGACATTTCATCTTTACTGAAGTTTGAGGCCAGTTTGAAACTCCGGCTGAAGGCGCCTTCAATTTAAATCTAATAGCTGCAGCCTGATGATATAATCAGTACTGCAACAGCATGTTAAATTTCTGTATTTTGTAGGCCCACATGAAATTCACCATGACAACTAAACCATGGAGAGAGCTGCACAGTGGCCATAAGAGGCCCCGATGTTTCTGGAATGCTACCTCTATGTCGTTTATTTGAGTTTCAGGAGGAGCAAGATGTTCCCTTAGCTTCCAGAAGAACCAACACCTCATCTCAGTCTATTACTGTCTTGACTGGCATCAACAAGACAGCTATACTCCAACCCTGAGCACTTACTTTCTGCCAGGGATCATTCCCTTGGATTCTAGCTTCTGATCTAGTTCCCAATCCTTCCCACCGGTCCCAAAGACACAGTTGAATAATTTCTTTCCTGACTAGACTGACTGCCTACTTCAGTCCTCCTTCACTCCTATTCCGAGTTTAAATCAAATTCTCTGGATTTAGCCTTTGACTTCAAAGAGGAAGTGGGTTTCAGAAGAATAAATAAGTTACAAGAATGATTTATGAGTTCCTAAATTCTGGGCTGAGATCTCCAACAAATGCAGGAGGTAGTTAACATTTATTTGTTGACGTATCATACTGATCATAAATCAGTAGGAGATGATCAGCCAATTTGAATCACTGTGTGACACCACAGGAGTATCTCCATTTCCATCTGATTTATAAATCAGATGTGTATGATGAGATCTTTGTATCTATTGTGTTTCTGTTGCTTAGTGTTCCGAGGCTCACAGAGCACAAAACCAATCTGCCAGTGGCATTCATAGTCCATTAGGCATCCCTGCCTGAGGTGACTTACTAACACCATGCAGGAGTTCGATTTCTTTATAATAGTGGGTAACATAGCCAAGTGGCTCATCACTTAATAAAGTCTTTGAGCATCAACTGGAATCCATAATAATCATTTATAACGTATGCGTCTATTCTTTGCAATATGTGCTACGTAGAGTTTACACAACACTGGTGAAAGGTTCAAATAAAAGGGCAATCGTCGGTGTGTCAATGGGAATATTTTTAAGAAATGTTGGTATCAAGAGCAGTTTACATATTTTATGCATTTTAGACACATAAAAATGTAGCATAATTTAAACAATGTACATATTTACAATATAAATTATTTTCAGGTATGCATTTGTACAGATAATTGTAATCCATTGAGGACTAAATAGCTTTTTATTGATCCTACACTGTATATTTAAAAGGCAATCTTTTGAAAATAAATATTTTCTTTTCTCAGCTGGCACAACATACATCTTTAGCCGAGGTGGTGGACTAATCACTTATACATGGCCCCCTAATGACAGACCAAGCACCCGAGCAGACAGACTGGCTGTGGGATTTGACACACACGTAAAAGATGCCATTTTGGTGCGTGTAGATAGTTCTGCAGGGCTTGGAGACTACCTACAGCTTCACATTGTAAGTAATCAAATACAAATGATAAATGGTTTGCTTCATACAAAACATCCACGCGAAATGAATTTTCTTATTAACAAGTGACATGTTACCAAGTCAAGGTTAACAAGTTTTGCTATGTGCAGAATTTTTGCATGGATTTATATTGCAGTGTTCAGGAATTGAAAGCAGTGCAAGAGAACCTCCTGGAGAGGCTCTCATGCATCATGAAAGTCTTCTGCAGCTGCTTTTATATTAGCTTTGTGTAATTCTAGAATTGTTTACATCTGAAACCTGACAATCTGAGAGGATTCCTGCCAGTTCATTAAAGCTTATCATCAGTCAAAAGTCAATCTTCTCAGCAACCATCTTAGTGAATCCTGCAGTTTTATTTCAGGGTTGTCACTAGCTCTGTGATACCTAAACATCTGAAGCAAGCAGCATTGATGTTGTACAAAGTGTCGAAAGCTAATGACACAAAAGGGGCAATATAAACATAGTCTAAAGAATCACAATAACATTGAACGATATAACAAAATTAAGATAGATTATTGTCTCATTTTCACATCAATTTGAATACACCTGAGGTCTGTATACATGACACTGTAGTACAACAACTGATTTGTTGACTAGCTTTTCTACATTCTACCTATTTGATTCTCTGAACAAAACAGCAGTTTGGAAAGGAGTTAATTATTTTCTCCAAAATTCTTAAGATTGAAAGCTTGGTTAATATATTATCAACGAATCTGATAGTTCAACAAATCATCATAAACATTTGCAGCTTATCATTAACCTTTGTTTCTGAATCGAGGTTCGAAACTCTGGAGGTTGCAAGTTTCAGCAGCTGTTAGAAATATGCCTTTGACGAACGAATTACTGAAGGTTGCCAATAGCAAACCAGTTTTAATGGACATGCTGGATGTCTGCCCTTGCACAATGATTATGAACTTGAAAATCTATCTCACCATCATGAACTAAATTGAGGAAATTATCCATGTTATCCTGGCTTGAGGGTAAAATATAAAAGGATGCTGTGATAACTAAGTTTAGATATATCCCAAGCCCTACACCTTACTTCCTGATCCTAATTGGCAATTCTTTGGGTATAATTTAAGCCCTCCCCATGGTGATTTTGGTAATGGAGGGACATTTAATCAGTGGGCGGATGAGATGTGGGTGCCTCGATGCCTCCATATTGACTAAACATTGTTGATTAAGATCTGTGGACCTGTTTCCCATTTTTTTGGCCAATTGAGGATGTTAAGTGAAGAATTAATGCCCCCATAAGTGCCTCATCCTAAGCATGCGTGAAAACCTATTTCAGTCTTCGTAATGTTGCTTGTCTGTATGGCTCAGTGGTTAGCACTGTTGCCTCACAGGGCCAGGGACCCGGGTTCAATTCCACCCTTGGGCACATGTCTGTGTGGAGTTTGCACATTCTCCCCGTGTCTGTGTGGGTTTCCTCTGGGTGTTCCAGGTTCCTCCCACAATCCAAAATGTGCAGGTAAGGTGGTTTGGCCATGCTAAATTGCCCATAGTCTCCAGGGATATGCAGGCTGGATGCAGGATTATGCCATGGGAAATGCAGAGTTACCGGGATAGGATAAGGAGGTGCGTCTGGGTGGTGTGGTTGATGTAGACTTGATGGGCCGAATGGCCTGCCTCCACACTGTAGGGATTCTATGATTCCATGATTCTATAAAATGGCAAGCAAAAGTGTGCAGATTGCTTGTTGTTGGGGGAGGGGAGGGAGCTGTGCCTGATTGAGGGACTTGGCATTGAGAATAACAGGTGTGGAGCCATTGGGACTTAAATGTGCTTTCTGCCTGTGCTGCCAATCCCCTTCCCACCAATACCTATCTGCAGCTTGGCATCCAGTGACTGCCTCAGCCCTCCAAAGAATCTTGTCGTACCAGTATCAACTGCCTCACTGATGGCACTGCCAAACAATAGAGCTGTCAGCCTCTGATTATCTGGCAGCTCTTGTCATATGGGACCCCCCCCAGAATTCTTGAACTTGAGGAAGGTCCATCTGTATATATTTAAATGCCTGAACAGCCCATGATTCAGTTTGCCTGCCTGAGAAGAAGCAGCAGAATGCTTTTTTGGCTCTCCAGGATTTAGGCAAGATCCCAGTTGCCTCCATTTAATACCATCCTTTGTTTTGATTCTAATAATATTGCTATAAAATTGTCTGTTTGCAAAGGATATTGAATTGTCGCAACAGTGCATTTTCCTTTTTAACAAAAAAAGCGTAAGAAATAAACTGCACTATGCAGTTCCCTTAAATGAATTTGTATAAACTTGACGTTTTAACAAAGAATTTCTGGACTTCTATTCCACTGTTTTCTAAAACGTTCAGCACAAGCACTTCCTCAAATATTTTATATTCAGTTGAAACAATTTGCTTGGACACGATAGCCCATTCCTAAGATTTCAAGGTATCCACTCTCTTTCACTCTACTTTTTCAAGAAATTAGATCATGAAGGTAGATTTTCCATAGTAACAATAGGGAAATGCCACATAGCCAGACAGAGTTACCAATAGGTTTATGATTGCATTTGAGAAATACTGGAAATGAATAACACTTAAAAGGAACTGCAATGATAACCAATGCTGTAATTAAAACTAAATTACCAGGGCATTATTTGGCGTGTTCAGAAAAAAAAAACCCAAACTCACTGGATCACCCACTAGGATGCCTAACTAATTGAAGGAATGTACATCACTGTTAATAAGGGGCTACATGTGATAGTGAATTTTACATTAATAAGTGGCTGGATGAATGGCAGATAGTAACCCCGTGAACTGGTAATGTGCATTTTTTTGTCATTTTTGTTACAGTGATGTGGAGAATGCAGACCAAAATAAGATGTAGTCTAAAATAGACTTTTTTTATAAGATGCAGTTGGTAGGCTCAATTTTATAAAATGATTTACTGTGACGTTATTTGATGTTTTGTTCCATTGTGATTATGATCAATGCAGTTTTATTATTTTAAGTCAACTGATAATGTGCAGCCTGATGCAGGGATGGATAGCTGCTCTGAGCAGATGTTTGAGGCTCATTTCCTTTCAGGATTGATCATTTAAAAGTGTTTGTAACTTTGTTAAGGAAAATATGCATTGGGCTCAAAAAACTGAATCCAGCTCTCTAAGCTGGAGTGAAATGTTCTTCTGGATAGCTATTATCATCCTAGCAAAGTAATTTTCTAGTGTTTACAGGTACAAATCATGATATTGGCTGTGATTTGGCATTAATTTGGAAAAGCCATCTGAAACTTGCAGCAGATGTACTCTTTTAACATTGAGTGAAAGGACATTCTTTATCACGATGGTAGATGTTCTTTTGAATTTGGTAATGCTCTGCCTGGATTTCGAGAACTTGATAAACAGTGGGTGTTAAATGCTATCCATCCCTGGCACTGAGTCAAAATAGGAAATGAACACCTGAGGACACTGATCATTTTGAAGAGGAAAGGTTTTGTTTCACACTGATCTTTTTAATGTTGTGTAATTCTCTAGCAAATTGCAGACCACGTGGTGGTAGTTTCACTCATTATGAGAGAAAAAAGATTCCATACGCTTCAAACAACTCATAATTTGTACTTGTGATTTATAAAATGCCTTCATAATTATGTTTTATTTGTATTGCAACACCAAGGAAAATCAACTTTTGGTAATTGATGTAAAATTATACATGTGTTTCAACATTTTAGGTACGCAATGTTTTTCTTAGTCCTCCGATCAGAGATCAATTCTTTGTTTTGTTGTAATTTTTTTGTGGTACTGGTCTATCCTGTCAATGCTCTAGTCAAATTGCTGGAGGTTATCGGGGGTGATCCCCCCTGGAGTTGTTTGCATTCTTGTCCTCACAAGACTTGTATCCTGCTTAATGAGCTAACAGGACAACATCACTTAAGTTGTTGCTATGCTCTTTAATTGCATATATTTGTGTCTCTGTCTGCAAGCTGCCTCATTCAGGCAGCACTAACTCCCTTGTACCGTTATCATGGGAGACTAATGTTGTTTGGTTTTGCTTCAGTTTCTCTCCATGGAGCAATTCATGTGAGCATTCCAAGTGCTGTTTTCCTGTTCTTTAATTGCTTGTGTCTCTGCAAAACACCTGGGCGTAGAGTTTCCGCTAGTTTTATCATCACAATTTGGATAAAATCAGCTAAATCAATGCCAAAGATGGCAGAAACTCCTAGTGCAAGTTACATCGAGCGCAAAATAAAGTTCTGCAATCTTAAGCGTTGATTGGAGAATCTTTTGTTTCAAAGCCAGCCGATTCACAAAATTGGATATGCTCCTAGACTGAAGTAATGAGGACAGTGAGTTTTTGTCCATTGTGCCAGTTTGAGCAGGACATAAGTTGCATTTGTTTGTGGATTACTTAGCATGTTTGAGTGCTGTTACATATTAAAACAATGTTGAATTTGCAAAGAAATTGACTGGTGTGCACCAATGAAACTAGCAAATGGTTCAGTTTTTTTCTTCAATTTTAGTGATGGAAAATCAGGTTGCTGATATTCAAAGGACTGGCTACTTAGTAAGAGTGCTTTTTTTGTGGTAATCCACTTTCAATTTTATTAGTAAAAATGCATCAGTTACAGCTTTGAAATATGCCAATTTTTTTTGAAGTGAAGAAAAGATTATGTGACATTGCACTGACCGGTTATGATGGTTTGTGGAATTTTTATATTTGAGGCTATGCAAATCCATTTGAATGGAAACTTAAAACTGTAACCTGATTGGCACAATTACAGGCACGATTTGGACTCAATCTCCTGACTGAACCAGAGCAGCAGCTCTGCCCTGCTATGCATTCAAGCTAAAGTATGTTAGTTTCTAACAATCCCTTCTAAAAATTGTCCTCTAGAAGTTTAAAAAATTGTTCATTTAATATGGTTTTGTGCTGTCCAATCTGTTTTGAAGAAATTAATGCGAGTAATAATTTTTTAAAAATCCATTTCAAAAGTCTTTGTTTTTCAAATTTATTTCATTCTTTCCCAGAAGAA